GAAGTGGCTTTAGCTTCTTAGTGCAGTGCTTTAACACGCTGTGCCACCAGGGAGGGCCTATTTCTAAAACTTTTTATCTACCCTGGAAGGATAAAAATTCACCCTTATTGAAAAATGAACATGCTATAGATACTGATATCAATTTCAAATTACATGAAAATAATGGCAGGATCATTAAGTAAAGGGTACCTAAAACAGAAACCCTGAAGATAACATTACTCATTCGATGTACAAGTTTCAGCATTTTATTCTGCAAATTAGCTATACTATGTTCTAATATATGCCCTCTGAACATCTCTTTAAAAAGAAGTCAAACTCATAGAAACAGAAAGTAGAACATGGTTGATTGGGTTAGAAGAGGAAATGTTATTTAGTGGGTACAGTGGTATAAATTTTAGATTTCTAAGATGAAAAAAATTCTGGAAATTGGCTGTACAACAATACTATTAAGCAGCATATAAAAAAGTGGATGGTAAATTTTGCTGTTTATTTTTTTTATCACAAGTAAAATTCTAAAAAAATAACTCCTACAAAATAGCAAAGTAGATAATTTTAGAAAAATAGAGGTGATTATGAATAAAGTATAATTTATTAGTATTTTGTTTCATCATATGGGATTAAAATTTCCACACTGATAAAACAGGATGATGTCCTTCATAATCAAAAATGTAATTCTCCCTTTCCCTTTCTACCCAGTTCCTTTCCCTGGAAGGAACCACAGTTACTGTTTCCCAAAAATACTTCTAAGACATTGAATGTCAATGCACTTTAGGTGGTAGCTTATGCTCTTGGCTTTTAGCATAAAGGAAAGCAGGTTATACAGAGAACTATGTGCTCCCCTTATCACTTATATATTGGAACTCATTTTGATTAAACTTGTGATAAGTATTCTGCATTGTTTCCCCCCCCCCCACAATATGACAGATTGGCCTAGTAGACTACATTCTATTTATAGATGTCACCTATGATTTACATAGTGCCTAGTGAGTTACACTCAGGTCCAAAGAATGAAGTTTTGTACTTTTTAAAATTAAAAATTGCCTCATCAGAAGAAACTGACTTTATAATTAAATGCCTAAACTAAATGACAGGTGAGTAATAATAAAAAAAAAAAGTTACCTTAAAAGTAGCAAAGGCATCTGAAGCAATATCAAATGTTAACAATTCCACATACTTAAAGAAATCTCTGAATTGATTAGAAAAGAGGATGATTTTGGCCAGCGGTTCATGTCGAATACATTCTCTCAGCATAATCCCACAACGTAAGGCAATCTGTGGGGCTTCATATCTAAAGCATAAATATGAGAAACAGAGAACTCTGTTATCCAAAGGGCAAAATAATGGTATAAAAATGCTGTTAATGGGAGCATAGGTACCATCACAGTTCATTCAAACATTAGTCAATACCTACTGCTTAGTCAATACCTACTGAATATGACATGCCTGGTACAACTTCGCATGCTGGTGATAAAACGGTATGAGTGTGTGCTATGCATGGAATGAGGGGGTTTTCATGAAAGCAGTAAAGGGTAATTGAGCAGATAGGAAAAGGGCAAATCAGAAAGCATAACAATAATGTCATAGAAAGAGACACAAAATAGGAAAGTGGAGGAAACAGACAGTAAATGGAAGAACTTTAGAAGTCAAACGATGTATGGAAAGGATTTTACTACTGTCTAAAATATGGGGACATAGATTTGAAGGACTATCCTAAAGCACGACAAATACATTTATTTTGATTCGAAGAGAACCAACTATATCTCATATGAGACCTATGCTATATCCTTTTAACTATTCTAAACTCACATCTACTTTAAAGGAAACCATATACCTACCCTTTGAGGAGCATAAACAAGATATGAGGGTGAGCACTGATGTACTCCACAGTAGGACTCCGAGTGCCTATCTGTCTTCTCAGGATGTTATTAAATATCTGGGTCACATCTTTTTTCCCCTGTCAAAGAAATGAACATTACAACCATTATAAACAAACAACCATTACATTGTACACTTTAAGTAGATGAACTATATGGCACTATACTCAAAATTTGTTTATAAATATGCACACACAAGCAGAAGCATGCAAAAACATTATTCTTTTCAAATATCTTTAATCACCTGTGCCTTCAAAAATAGTCTACAAAATAAATGTTCCTTTCACAAGATTTGCACTGTGGGAAATTAGAAAACTTCACAGTCCATTTTGCAGTTATAAATGTAATAGCACAGTAGAGTATAATAGTGCAGAATATAACTGAATTCTTTACACTTTTTACCTTTAGCCTTTATTTTCAAAGAAAACAATGGAAGCTCCAAATGAACAGAATTTATTATATGAAAAATAAGAACAAAAGTGACATCCTATTTTCAATCACTAGAAATGGCATGTAACCATGCCACTCTTCCATAAGCTCTTCAATGTTTCCCTTTTGCATATGGTGGCATAATATTCCACTGTATGTACCTACGTAAGCACATATTAGTCTTTTTATACATTCACCCACCAATGGACACCTCTTTCTGTATATGATTACTGTAAATAATTCTGCAATGAACATACAGGTGCATACATCTTTTTGAATTCACTTTTTGAGTTCCATTTTCTCTGAATAAATACCAAGAAATGAAACTGATTCATCACACTAACGTTCACTTTTAATTTTTTAAGGAACCTCCATATTATTTGCCATTGTGGTTACATCAATTGCTAACAGTGCACAAGCGTTCACTTGTATCCAAATCCTCACCAATACTTGTTATTTCTTTCCTTTCATTAACGTCCATTGTGTGAGGTGATAATTTCATTGTGGCTTTGATTCATATTTCCTTGATGATTAGTTATGCTGGGCAACTCTTTATTTAGCTCTTGGCTATCTGTATGTCTTCTTTGGAGAAAGTCTATTCAGATCCTCTGCACATTTTTTTCTAATCAGAATGTTCCCCCCCCTTTTTTGTTCTTGCATTCTATAAACTCTTTATATATTTTGGTTGTTAATCTCTTATCAGATGTATAATTTGAAGATATTTTCTCCCATTCTTAAGGTTGCCTTTTCTTTTTGCAGGTTTCCTTTGTTGTGCAAAAGACTTTAGTTTGCTACAGCCCAGTTGTTTATTTTTGCTTGTTTTTTTATTGCCAAATCCAAAAAAAATAAATAATTGCTAAGACTGAATTCAAGGAGTGATTTTTTCTAGAAGTTTCATGGTTTTAGGTTTGCACTAAAGTCCTTAATCTATTTTTAGTTAATTTTCATGTATGGTATAAAGACACTGTGGTTCAATAGCATTCTTTTGCATGTGCTATTCAGTTTTCCCAACATCATTTATTGAATGGATCATCCTTTCCCTATAGAATATTCTTGACATCTTTGCTACAAATTAAATAGTAAAAATAGTTACAAAGTTCATACTACATGAATTTCATTTGTACATGTTCAAGAATGTATGTAAATATAAATACTTTACAAATAAAAAAAAGTCATCTGTTTTGTTCAAGTCTTTCTAGATGCCACAGTAATAATGAAGAATAGCAATCCTCTTCAAAATGTCATAAGAGCATGTTTTTCATACTTTCCAGTAAAATGTCACAAGAACATTTCCATACGGCATTCTAGTGAACAGTAGAAATGAAACATCACAGAACTGTATCCAACTTTTACATAGAAGAAAACATTCTTCTAGTTCATTAGCAAATGTGCACAAAGGCAAAAGAACACCCCTGTGGATTAAAAAAAAAAAAAAAAAATTTCTGTTACTAAGGACAGCTTCTCCAGAGAAAAGGATCAGAGTGGAAAGATTAGAGAAAAGTTAGACAGGTACAAGATAATGAATGATGATCTCTGCATTCAAAATATCCATTCAAATCTTTAATGGAGTAAAAACTTAACTATTTCAGTATCTATCTTCTGCAACCCTAACACTGTTAGATCTTAAACTCTGGATTGAGAAGTATCCAGAAAAAAAAGAACAAAACATTAAAAACATTTTGGATAATAGTGAAGCAACATTTAGAAATTATTAAAAAAAAAAAAAGGCCTGAAAATATCCAGTAATTCTGAAAGTATATATAATAGATCAGATCTCCAACCTGAACCAGCATTTTTGTAGGTGATAAAAAAAGAAAAAAAGAGTCCTGCCATGGGTTGCTCATAAACTATTTGCTGACTGAATATTAGATATGGAAGGAATCAAGTAAGAAAAGAATGAAGGAAGAAAGAAGTGATAAACAGCTATGGCCAGGTTGGCATGATTTCAATCCCTGGCAAGGGAGCTAACCCACATGTCTCACCCACAGCTCCCCTCAGCAATGTATTTCAGGACATTTGGCTGCTCTGCTCCCCACTCTGTATCTGGTAAATTCTCTCACTCCCTGTACCTTTGGCCCATATCCAGTTCAGGTATACATAAGTATATAAAAAACCAAATCTTTAAAAAAAATAAGTAAGTTATAGAAAAAGGAAAGAAAAGGTGACAGACAGACATGGAAAAATGCTGAGCAATGTCATTAACTGTTAGGGGAATGTAAGTTAAAACCACAATGATATACCATTAACACTATTAAAATAGCTAAAATTTAAATACCAAAGCCAAAAACAAACAAGAAACCCTATACTATTTAACAATCCTATTCCTAGGTATTTATCTAGGTGAAATGAAAACCTACCTCAAACTCAAAAAACAGAGTTTATTTATAAGTACAGAGTTTATTTATAAGATACAGAGTTTATTTATAAGTACTAAAAGCTGGAAATTTCCTAATTATCCCTCTACTAAAAGAATAATGATCTGTAGTACACCAGTGCAATGGAATGCTACTCAGCAATAAGAAGGACTAAGTTCTTGATAGACAGCAACAATATGGGTGAATTTTAGAAATATTATACTAAGTGAAAGAAGCCAGACTCATAAGGTTACATATTGTGTAATTCATTTTACACTGGGGATAAGAAAAGGATTGGAAGAAGGCATGGGAGAATTTTGGGGGCTGATGAAAATACTATTTATCATAGAATTGTGTACTACAAAGGGAGAATGTAACTTCTTGTAAATCACATCCTAGTTCTAAAAATAAGGTATTTATAGCCATTAAAGTCATGGACTTCTTTATTCTGCCTTGAGGGAGAGAGGGTGGTAGAGTTGAGGTGGGGCAGGCAAATGTCTGCTGAATTGCAGTAACATAATTAGATAGGTAGAGCACTCTTCCAGGTAGGGGTAGTTCACTTACAGGGACTAGCAAGAACACACTTACAGGGGACTAAAATTCAAATTAAATGTATTTACAAATAATGGGAAACGTTTAGATAAGTGAACCATAGATTAGCTTAGAATTAGTCACTCATACAAAAATCCTTAACTCTTCAAGAATTCCCCCCCCACCCCCCATACCAGTCTTCATCATTCTCCCTGCAGGTTGACTTTTTCTACTTCTTTAGTATGCATGGTAGGAAACCTTGTTATTGATGGGCAAACTACATCTACTATTCTTAGTTTCTAGTTACAGATTGGGACCCTATTCTCAGTTATGCTTTTGGAATCCTGCATAAACTCTGGCCCTGTTCTGGTTAAATACCTACTACTAGGGCAATCTGTGTGTTGGGCAGGATGTAATCTTGCACAAAAAGGTCCTTCCCACTGTAACCAAGTAGGTAGGGAAGGAGAGAACATTGCCCAGGAAGCAGAGAGGCTAGGATGACATGTACATAATACATGGCAAAAGCAGTTTTCATCTGTCATATTACCTCCCTAAAATACGTATAAGATAAAGCTCAAACGATCATCTTCATTTGTATACAGGGTACACAAACAATTAAGAGGTCATGCTTCTTTCTAATTAAGGACCTACTGCCAAATACCATTTTTTTTTAGATTTATTTATTTATGCATACAGAACTGGGGTTCAAGACAGAGGTGCAGGGTGGTGAGAGGATTAACCCAAAATAGAGTGAGGAACAGAACAGATAGACTGATGAAATACACTGCTGAGGGGAGCAGCAGGCAAGACAAGAGAGGTCTGCTATGTCATGTGGACCACCTCCAAGGCCAGGGATTGAACTGGCACTGAAGCAGCTGCAGATAGCATGCACCCTAACTTGCTGCGTCACCAGGGAGGGCCCCAAATACCATTTTTAATCATGCATACATTATACACTTAAAAAAAAAAAGATTTATCTATATATGCATACAAGAACTGGAGTACAGGCCAGAGGTGTGGGGGAAAGAGGATTCACCAGAGATACAGTGGGGAGCAGAATGGGCAGATGTACTGAATTACACTGCTGAGGGGAGCAGTGGGCGGGTAAGGAGAGGTCTGCCACGTCACGTGGGTCAGTTCCCTGGCTGGGGATTGAATTTGTGCTGCAGTGGCTGTGGTTAATTTCACAGGGCTGTGCTTTAACTTGTTATACTACATTATGTACTTATAAATTATAAGATGAGTGCTCCTAAAATTTAACCTCATTACTTTTAAGAGGACAATTAAGGCAAATGGTAACAATAATATAAAATTCTATTTAATATGATATAGTATTTCCCTACCTGAGATTGTAAATTCTTTAACTTAGTCTAATGATGGACACAAAACATACAGATTAAGACCAAGTACAATCAATACTCTACATTTCAAATTGTGTCATGCATGAAGAATAGTCAAAGCTTTAACTTAAAGCATATTATAACTTCTCATTTTTATAGTAATAAAACCATAGGTGAAGAACTTTTAATGAGGACCAAAAAAGAATTTTTAAAGGACAGAAATTTTCAAAATCTTAGGACTAGAAAAAAGGCTTATAACAAGAAACAATGCTAAACTGCTTGTTTTGTTGATGTTTTTCATCTAGCAAGAAATAATCATTAGGAATGAAATAAATGATCATAGTAGAACATTTTCTGCTTCTTTGAGCTCCTTTCCAATTTTGCCTGAACAGTTCACTTTGCACTGTTTTTGCAAAGCACACCTGCCTTTAAAATGAATGTTTCAACTTTTATATGCAATAAGTTTTCTTCTTTTGATCTCTTATCACATTGTGTTTCAAAACATCAAAGAATCTAAAGCTGTGTCTTGAATAGAAGCCAAACCTCAAAGTTTGATCCTGAGCCCAAAAAAAATCAGAAACCTTGAGATCTTAACCACAAGTCTTTTTTTTTTTTTAAAACCTCATAACAATATACTGAAGTGTTTTTTTTTTTTGGTCAGCAATTTTAAGGTTTAAAAGATTAGATTAAAAAATAATGTCTATGAAGTAATGAGATTTTCTTTTTAAACTATTTTAACCCCAAGTATCTGCCTCTTAACAGGCCTTATTCATATAAAAACAGAATTCTTCAATGCTTTCCCCACTCCAAGGGGCCACTTTCATCTGGATTGCTGAAGAAGAAACAAGCTTATCATAGACTTCCAAATTCCTGCTACCCAATCTATGTCACTGCATTGGGTCACTATCACTGTTGTCACTTTGGATTCTAAATCCCTGTTCCTTGTTCCTCTTCATCCTTGTTCATTTTCTTGCCTCCTGCAACTAGTTATTTTCTCAACATCCTATTTATCCCAAGTGTAGAAAATCATCCTTTTTCCTTCATTCAACATATTCTATTACTACATAATTACTTTATCAAAGGTTTAAGGATATCAAATGATAACTATATTATACTGCAGTAACAACTTCAGATTAAATATGATATATCACTATTATTAAAAGTTCCTTCAGCTTTTTCCCTTAATTCCCAACCCCCTTTTCACAGTCATGGTTTCTGAAAGCTTCTTTCTCTGTTACTCAACCCATTCTCCTATCTCTTCTATTTCCTACTGCTATCAAGCTTGGTTAAAGAAGAGAGTATTTCTCAAATTTCTGTTTCTTTACTCTGCAAAAGAAATCCAAATTCTTTTCTTTCATTTATTTTCCTTCCTGACATTGCCTAGAGATTTAACCATTCACAATTAACAAAAAAGTTCATCTGACAGTCTTCTAAAAAAAAATTCACTGTTTTTTCTCTGTAAGAAATATTCTTTCAGGTTATGTGACAAAGTCTGCAGCCCATCCCTAAAATTATTTTTTCTTCCTATTGTAAAAACATACCAGAAATTTTACAGTCAAATAACTGTTGTATTCTTCAAAGTAGCCCCATGAGTTGCTATTCACTACTTGAATTCTATTATCATCATTCTTGCATTAATTATCTTGTAAACAATATACTGATTCTTCAAGAAAAGAGGCTTATTGTTGTACCTCAGGACATCTTCCTTTGTTTCAATTTTCTTACCTCTGCTTTGAGCTCTCATTCTCATTCCTGCATTCATTAATTTGCACAACTAAAGAATACAGGAATGCAGACCCAGTACTCAAGATAATCTCAGTGAGAAAAGGGCTATCTCAATGACTTCCATAAGCTAGAAGATGAGGAGCGTGGGGTTCTGTTTGATAACTCTGAGTTTTGAAGTTAGGAGTTTTTTACCAAGCTATCACCATCTTAGGGTACAGCTATAAGGATACAGTTTTGAAAAGGCATCTTACTGTTTGCAGGCTAATGACCACAACCTTCAGTCCATTAGAGATTCATAAAACAGGCAAATAATTACAGTAATGCGGCCTACTTCCTAAAAATATTACTGAGTAACACAAAATACCATTGAGTTGGTGGACAATTTAAAATTGAACTGTCCAAAAATTTAAATGTTACACATTCATTCAACCAAGAAGTTATTTGTAAGTATTTAGTTTCCATGGACTTGAGTTTGTGAATGACATCTGCAGCTACTCAACATCACATTCATTTGTACCAATGGTTTAGAAACAGTACTACATCAACTGAACAAAGTCCAGACCTATCTTATCAATTATATCTTAATAGAGATAAAAAAAATCCTCAATTGTCTGCTGTTTTATTATCACAGTAACAAATCTCTATAATAATATACTGTTTGGCTTCAACAGTAAAAAGGTATAGTGTCTAATCTGTAATTTTGGAGAGGCAAGTATATATTTTATAAAGATGTAAAGTAATCTGCAAAAATAATTAACTGTTCATTTGAAAGAGCTGATCTTCAGCTACCTGGAAAATAAAAATATTCAAAAAAATATTCTTTTCCCCAAGCATTTCAGGAAAATATTTTACCTGATCATTTACAAGTCAATATTAGGCAACTGAATATCTTGGTCCCTGAATAATTTTTAAGCAAACTTCCTCTCTAAATTTATTTTAAGCTTGTATAAGTATTTGTTAATATTCTTTTATTACTAAGTGAATAATAAACTAAGTTGTGAGGTATGTAAAATTTTTCTTTGTACTCTTATCTCCCCAATTACTGGAGAATACCTTGGACCTAGCTAATAATCTGTGTCTGCTAAGACGTCTCCAGGTCACTAGATCTGACAACACATCATCTCTGACTCAGTCCTTAAAACATTCCATCCTTGGTTATATTCCTCCAGCATACAACTATAAATTGGGCTAAACTCATAAACTGCCTAAACTACCATTAGTTAATAATGATGCATTCCTTAATACATTGCTGCTTTTGGGGAAAAGCATAAAATTCTAGGAAGAGTTATCAAAATATAACAACAAATTCCGAAAACAGGAAGTTTCATCCCTTTCCTTCCTATTTATTTTCACCGACATAAGGGTCATAATAAAAATAAACCAGCTTACATTTAACCAGTTTGAAAAAGAAGAGAATATAACTCCTGACATTTGTACATAGTTTGCTCGTATAGTGTCACTAACATACATATGTACATATTTTCCACTTAAATTTAATACTTAAAATAATGCTCTATGTTCACATTATTTCTAACCTATAGATGAGAAAATACATTAAAGTATATAAACACAATGACACAGCTATATTTTAATTGCCATGTAAGACCAGATTATAAAGGAAAATGGGATAAGATAAAGAAACAGAGCTAGCAAGCCAGGCAACAAGAAAAGTAGGGAGAGATTGGGTAGAAAATGTCAAATAGAGTAGAAAGGAAGAAGAAAGGAAAAGCAGAAAGGTGTATTTGAAAAGAAGGCAGGCAGGCAGGCAGGCAGGCAGGCAGGCAGGCAGGCAGGCAGGCAGGCATATGGGGTACTTATTCAGTGTTGCCTCCAGCTGACACACCTGAAGTAATATCCCCAGAGAGTTTTGGTGAACTCCTGCTCTTTGGCTCTAATCAGCCAAAAGTATCTTCTCCATCTAAGTGTCCAGAGGGTTGTGGGCTACAGTTTCCAAAGGTTCCTCAGAGCCCTAACCTTAGCTTGGCCTACTCACTGTAATCATTCTAATTAACTTCCTTTCACTTTCTCAATGATAAAAACTCAAAGCAATTTACTTGAAATTTGTATTTTCTTCTATCTCTGAGAATTAACGGAGACTTAATTAGCATTTAGCTGAGAGTATGAAAGAAAAAACAACAAACGAATCAAAGCCAAGCCTTTCATCATTGAAATAGCCAATGCCCAAACTTGCCTCACGCATTACATTTTCACTGAAAAAAATCACTGTTCTACAATATGCCACAGAAGGTAAAATAGCTATATATATTCACCACTTCTGTTTATAGGTTTTGATTTCACTTTATTAATCTATTATTCAGGAAAATTAGGCACAATCACTTTCAAAGTGAGATAAATTACTAGCATTTAACAAACCCATTAAATCATTATTATGGTACTTCAACTAAGAGAACAGACTTGGAAGACACTGAGTTTGAATTCCAGCTTGGGCTCTTTGTAACTGCATGACTTTGCAAGCATTAGTATAAGTTGAACTTAAAGTTCTTTATTTGTAGAATGAAGCTCATAATTAACAATCATATATATTGTTTTAAGAAATAAGTGAGAGCATATACTCAACAAATATATTATTGTTTTAATTATTAGTTACTCACTTAAATATTAGTTACTCAACCTAACTATAGCACATCTTTTTGCTTAAAAAGGCTAGGATCATTTTATGTTTCTGAACAGAAATAATGAAAAATTAAAATCAAATATTGATAGTCATGTATTAAAATTGAAAAGCAGAGATAGTTTACCTCGAAGTCTATCAGCTGTAGGTCAGCGATCAGGGTCACCAGCAGCCCGCTACTGTAGAGTTCTTGTGCTAGCTGAGCCACAGCTTCTGTTGGGGGTTCTTTTTCATTTGTACCACACAGAATTTCTTTCATTGCTTGCAGAGACTTTGACACTTCTTCTGAAGCCTAGTGACCAAAAAGTATGCTGATGGTTAAAAGAAATTAAAGGTTTCAGGCAATAAAACAAACAGGAAAAAAAAATGCTTTTTGTGGCTAGTTTATTTATGATCAAAAAATATTGCACAGGTATTAACCAAAAAAGCCTATTAAGTTATCACTTTTTCTATTTTTGAAAATGTTACTAAAATTTATTTATAAAAATCTTCCAGTATTTCTACTCAGTCAGCATAATTAGGACAATCATCCTTAAAACAACATTGATAATTTTCCTAGCAATTATAATTTTTTCCCCTGAAATTAAACTGACTCCATTTTACTAATAGTCACTGATTAAACTCTAGAGGTGTCTTGCACATCTGAACAAGGATGCCACTTACAGCAGTCACTTGGATTCCTGTGTTCAGTCTAGAAGAAAATCCTTTTATGTCTTTCATGATGATTACTTAATATTTCCCACCTGAAACAACATAACTAAATTCTACTGATTTTGAGCTTTATAGACTAGTATCTCCTCTTTTATGATTTGCTTCTTTTCACTCAACATTGTATTTGTGAGACACATCCATGCTACTGCATGCAAGCAGCAGTTCCTTAATTTCCATGGCTCTATATTATTCCACCAGTGGCTACATCTTAACTTCCTAATTAGTTCTTTGGTGGATGAACATTTGTGTTATTTATGTTGATAGTTCATTATGAACGACAATGCTGTGAACATTCTTGCACATGTGTACTGGTCTGATCAGAATTTCAAATATATTTCCATATCCCTTATAAGATATATAGTCCTACATCCTTACAAGAATACAAGTCTGTATCATACCTGACAAAAAACAGATACTACAAACTTAAGGGTTTTTACTTTATAAATATCTTGTATCTTGCTAACAAGCAGTCACTTTGGAGAGAAATCAAATATGCAGGATTCAAGACCCCTTGGAAGGAATAGCTAAAATACTAAAAAGCCCTTCTGTAAAGAACCCCTGCTTAAAACAATGTTAAAATGTGTTTGCACTATAGGAGAAAATATTAGCTGATCCTTAAATGACAACTTTGTACTTTTCATGTTAATATAACATTTTATACCAGCATAATTCCTTAAATTTTCAGTGCTGGAGTCTAAAGGCATTCTAGGTCTGTAAGTACATAGAATGTAAATGATGAGTTCACAAGACAACAGACACAACAATTACCAGTCAACATGTAACTAGAAATCAATATAAATCTAATTATAGAGATCCTATGTGCATATCACAGACCATATCTGGTATTCTTCATTAAACTTTAACATTGGTTTTGGTCTTAGAATACATGACATTTTTGTTTTGGCTCATACCTTGTCTGTCTTTTTGTCTTGTTTTTCCAATATGGCCATGTTGTCTTTCAGAGTTTTCACGATTTCTGCTGGATTTTTGTGTGACTTACTAAACAAAGGCATTTTTTTCATTTATAAAGATTAGCTTCTTCCAATATGGAATACTACAAAAAAAGAACATGAATTTCAATGTTAATGTGATTAAAGTATTATATTAAAATGACTTAAAAGTTTTCAATAACCTTAATTCAGTTATTTAAAAAACTAAAATCAATTAAAGTTGCATCAAGTTTTATAACAAACTTAAATACATATAAAACATTTTTAGAAATACATTTTAAACTTTTCTTGAAAGCTTACTCAGAATTTAACATTTTCCTATAAATACAAGGATTGTTTAAGAAAGGGAAATATACTTTTAGAGAATAAGCTAATACTTAAAACTGCTATTTTTCCTTCTGATCTATTTGAGAAATATTTGTTGTTAGTTACTATGCTAGGCGCTGGGAACACAGGTGTGTATACAGCAGACCCAATGATGAATCTCATGGAATTTACAGTCGAGATAGGAGAGGACTGGTGAGGAATAAAAAATATATTAAACAAATGAAAGGACTAGGCAACTTGAGCTATAAGAAAATTAAATGAGTGGTGAGAGATGTAACTGTGTATTGGTTTCCTAGAGCTCCCACAATAAATTCCTACAAGCATGGTGGTTTAAAACAACCTGAATTGACCCTCTCTGGTGGCACAACGAGTTAAAGTGCTGTACTTGTTAATCTGCCTGATCTGCTCCCTCCCTCTGTCTCTGGTGAATCCTCTCACCTCCAGTGGCTGCACAACTGCCTGTACCCCAGTTATTTTTGCATAAATAAGTAAATCTTTGGAAAAAAAAAACACCTAAATTTGTTTTCTCACAATTCTAAAGGACATAAATGCAAAAAAAGATATTGGCAAGAATCCTTCCTTGTTTCTTCCAGTTTCTGGTGGTTGTTGGCAATCGTCGATGTTCCTTGGCTTGTGACAACAGTAACTTCAATCCCTACCTTCATTTTCAATGAACTTCTTCTTCCTTCCGTCTTCTCACTACCCACCCTAATCTAGTATGACCTCATCTTAACTAATCACATTTGCAAATACTACTACCTTCATTTTCAATGCACTTCTTCCTTCTGTCTTCTCACTGCCCACCATAATCTAGTATGACCTCATTTTAACTAATCACAGTTGCAAACACTATTTCCAAATAAGGTACATTTTGAGTTTTCAGGTGTCTAATGTGTTTCTGTGAACACTGTTCATTTCTGTGAACACTGTTCAACACATTGCAGGAGTGAAATCAGAACCAGACCAGATTATATAGGACATAACAAAGAGACTGTATGTATTATCAAGAGAAAAGAACAAGACTTGCTGGGAAAAATGGGTATCAGGTTTTCACCTTTCTGACTACTCATTTTTTTCAATAAATTAAGTTGCATCAATAGGCTATTTATTGTCCAAGAAATAACTGAAACCACAGGATCTTGGACAAAAGAGCTTTTCCACTGGAGATGACCCATAAATCATTGTACCTAAAGGAAAACATAGTTGCACCTTTATCTATTTGGAGGAACAAAATTTAGATTGAAAAATGTGAAACTGCCCTTCCGGAGGATGCAACTCAGTACCTTCAGATTGGGACATCCTTATATCTCCTACTGCACTAAGGGAAAAAACAAAACAAAACAAAAATCCCTCTTCATATATAACACTGAATTTTTTTTTAAATTGAGGTAATACTGGCTTAAATATATATGATTTAGAACCTATCCCTTCAGATGTTACCACACGACACCTACCACCAAAACACCCAGAATCCTCTACCACCACTGTGTTCCCTGCCTATTCTGTCCTCTCTTCTTTCTTTCCTCCTCTGGTAGCCTACATCAAATTTCTGTGTTTGTTATTGGTTTGACTTTATCTGACTGTCAGTATTTGTCTTTATCTTGATGCCTTATTTGTGTAGCATAATCCTCTCCAAAAACTCCAAATATTTTAACTAAAGACAGCGATGATGATGATGATATAATACATAAAATAAACATGTTAAAAGAGGAACTGGAATTCATACACGGCAGTAAAACGAAGTTTAAAAGTGTGCTACTCCATGATAATCATGTAATTACATTATACTTTTATTTAAAGTGTTTTTAGACTTCAATTATTTAGCTGATGAAATGAGGACTGCTTTATGAGAGGGTGAGGAGAATGGGGAAAAGTATAAATTCTTGTTTTTGAGAACATCTATTTGCACACAGAAAAGAAAGTCAAATATGGCTGTCATCCCCCAATTATAATTACTGAATAGCTTAGTAAAGAATATTCATGTATGTTACATTTGTTAGCAAAACAAATGTAAAGTAATGGAATATTAACCAATCACCCAGAGATGACATCTGTATCAGTTTGATAGATAATCCTCCTAAATTTAAGAGTATTTAAAAATAAAATTAAACTATTAAGCATAGTATTTTAGGATTTTCCCTACTTTTTATAACTTGAATATCATTCCGTGATATTTATATCTCTAATAATATCAGTTGTTATAGACATGACACAGAACAGTCACAGAAATAGCCACTACATTATACAGGCACATTGTATAATTATTATTTGGTAATTTCTTACATTTTAATAATAGTCTATTGCAGGACATTTGAATTAATTCCCTTTTTCTATTACTTCATTAACAGTGCTCTACTCTTGCCTATGGTTCTAAACCCTTCACTTATCTAGATCCCTACTTCCTAAATGTGGTTTCTTAAGATTTCTGTAAGATCCGTGAGATATTCTACAGCCTTCCAATAAAGTCCTTCGATATTGTGATAAAAAATTTTAATAGAATACATTAGGAATAGAACATGAAACTTGTGGTATGAATTTTAATAAGACAGAAGACAGATATTTTCTGGTTTTTGTAGGGATGCTGTTTTCAAGTAGGGATGCCTCAACTCCACAGTGTGGTCAGGGTAAGTTTGAGAGGAACTTATCTCAGGGCAAGAATAAAGTAAGTTAAAGCAACCCCAAACAGCCTCTAAAGCAAATACTGATGGTTGACAAAGCAATCAAAGATTGTGATGTGAAGATTACACTGTGATTCTCAATAAAACGAGAGCAGTGTCAGCTGCAAAAAAGAGAGCAATGGAAAAACAGTCTCATCACTTTACAAAACTCAAGAATAAAATAAAGATGCACTAAGTTTATCAATAACAGGTAGTGCTAGAAAAAGGTTTAAAGGTAAAATGTATTTAAAAGTTTATATACTCTGGAGGTGGGTAGGAAAGTCATTAGATAGCTTGGCAAGACAAGCAATCTGTTGCTTAGTGCCTTGGTGATCCAGGGCATAGTATGTGATTTCTCTAAGATTCTCTGTTCTTACCTTTCAGTGGGGGTAATACGATTTCCCACACAGGGCTGTGACAATTAAGGATATGTCTAAGGTTCCTTGCACAGGGGCTTCTTTTATAAGGAAGGTATTCTATTATGTTTAGCTGCTATTATAAAAAGTCTCTGACCAGTGGAGTATGCTGGTGGGCTACGGTGGTTCTGCTGATGCTTCACTAAGCTGACTGCACCAATGGTACTTCAATTAAAAAATAAATACAAAAAAAAATAAAGTTTCATGATATAGGCAATAAATTACTTCATGAAAAAGAAAGATGCAGTAGTTGAGATACGGTTTTGTCTTATTAAAATGCTCTAGATTCATGACTACTGGAGCCATGTTTTTCCTTTTTTTTTTTTAAGATTTATTTATTTATGTATATAGAACCAGGGTACAAGCCAGAGGTGCAGGAGCAGTGAGAGGATTTACCAGAGACAGAGTGGGGAGCAGAACAAGTAGACTGATGAAGTACACTGCTGAGGAGTGCAGAGGGTGGGTCAGGAGAGGTCTGCTGTGCCATATGGATCACCTCCGGGGCAGGGATCCAACTTGCACTGAAGTAGCTGAGGCCGGCTTGCAATGTTGCGTCCTAGCCTGTTGCGCCATGGGGGTGGGAGGGGTGGGGATGGGGGTGGCTAAAACAGGCTGTTTTTTAAGGCTAAATGTATTTGTATAATAGTGTTCTTTTTCCATGTAGTTCTGCATTAAGATACTCAATTGTAGGAAGCTTGGCTACATACTCCATGACATCAAAACAGTGCATATTATAACACAGATCACATATATGATGTGATTTTTGTTCATTATCACTGTTCTGCTCAGCTGTCATTCTGTTAGCTAATTCTAATGCTAACCTTAGTGAAATTATAAGCATTTTTCAGAACTCTCCTGTTAACCTGGTGTTTAAATCAGCACTTCCTGATTCACTGTATCCCAGGTTTTCATTTGCCCATTGGTTTATTAATTTACTCATTGAAAAATTTGTATAAGTACTAAGCACAGGCATCTTGCTAAGTACTAGGGATCAAGTCTAGCCCAGAAAAAATTTTTTACCTCTTTTATGTGGAGAAAAAGCAAACATTTCAGAAGCAACAAGATTAAAACAAATACTTAAAAAAAATAGTTCTAATTTTATTTTTAAATACTTCTAAAAGAAAATATTTCAGAGGCAACAAAATTAAAACACATTAAAATACCTCATAATACATTATTCCTTTAAACATTTTTTAATGTTCAGAGTTTAAATGTGTATATTTTAAATGTACCTGTATACCATAATAACTATTACATTAAATTAACTTAAATAAGCTTAATGTTTTAAAATGTTAAAGCATCACTCTTCTTGTATTCTGGGGCCCATGTGTTAAAGGAAATCAAAATTCATGCTATACCATCAAATAACACAGTTACAAGCTTCTGAAAAACTTCAGATGCCTTACAAATTAAGGTGAAACTCTCTGGCCTGCTGTTTTCTTCAGAGACCATGGCTAACTTGACTCCATCCTAGAGTACCTGCACCACCCTCAAACATGAAGTAGGTCTTCTTACCTTCTGGGTAACCATGGTCATTGCATATGCAATTACCCTCCCAGTCATTCAGTAAATGAGCCAATGGCACTCAAAACACAAGGTATTTAAATCACTGTCTAACTTAATTGTAAATGATCTAAATGATTCAGAAGTTATCATCCTTGTCTCATAATTATTTATTGTGAAATAAGACTTTTTAAAGAAAGT